ACACAAGTATGTCCTGTCTAGGCCCCTACGCTCTGCCGAAGACCTGTGTCTATCCTCGGTTCGTACTCCCACCTCTGATGCTCGCATTCAAGATTTTTCTAGGGCTGCACTGTTCCCCACCCCTTCCAGTCAAGGCTGCACTTTGACAGACGCACACACTCACTGATAGATGCATACACTCATTGACAGACACACACTCTCATATACACTGACAAACAATGACAAACACACACACTCACTGATTTGACACAATGATAGACAGACACACACTATGACTCGGACACACACTGACAGACGCATGCTCTGACAGACGCACAAACTCACTGACCGACATATACACACTCACTGACCAACACACACACATTCACTCACAGACACACACACATTCACTCACAGACACACACACATTCACAGACATACACACATACATACACACACTCATAGACACACACTAATAGACACACTCACAGATACACACACTCATTCACTCACAGACACACACACAGACATTACAACCAACACTCACAAATTATTTTGTATTTTTTTTATTACTGGATTACTTACCTGTCCAGTGGGGCTGCTGGTCGGGCAGGCAGGGGGCGGACAGGCTGACTGGCGGCGAGGGACCTCTGATTTTTTTGCTGCCCCCTGTAAAGTGCCGCCCAAGGCAGATGCCTTGTTTGCCTCATGTAAGATATGTCCCTGAGTGACCCCTCACACACACAGCACTAGTAGAATAGAAAATAAAGATAAATTTAAGTACATTTAAAAAGAAAAAAAATGAAAACTCCTTTCTAAAGATCAAAAAAAAAAAAGCACTTGCGCTATAAAATTAGTTACTGTGGCACTGGTGGCCGGTAAGGAAATGTTACCATCAACAAAGATACAAAAGTGGGAGATAGGTATTAAAATGTTTACTACTCCTTCTTTAAACTGTGAATCGGTAGGAATTAACAAATTGAAGGCTAACATAACCAAACAGTCTGCATATGTCAATAGGAGATGTTTTCTAATTTAACTATTTTTCCCAAATTTTAAGATTCTCACCAACTCCCACTGTATAAATAATACTTTTTTTTTTTTTTTTTCATATCAGCTAATTACAATTCTCCTCTTCACGATTCCTGATTTATTGAATATACCACTTGGGATTTCTTTGTAAATGCTGCAATCATCAAACAAGGATTGTTGTTTATTTTAAAGGAACCCTTCCAAATTGGAAATAAATACATTTATAAAGCAGCACTTTTATAAAGTGAAAGGAGGGGACACTCTAAACCCCTAAGCAGTCTGGTGTTTGAAGTTCAAATAAAGTGTTTTCACAAATATTATTCCTAAAAAAATCCAATATTACATTATTAATAAAGAAAATATTTAACATTAGGAAAATTAATTCATGAGGGTTACTACCTTGAAATAATTTCTGTAAGTGCCTCTGAAACATAAAAACATGTAATGACCTTCAATGACATATTTATCACCCTGTAACCACAGTAGCAATAATCACAAGTGTTCTGCAGTAAGAGGTTACTGCACTGTGTACACTCTAGTGGAGCTTGTCTCATTCCTAGTGTGACAGAGATGCTTGCAGCCTGGGATAAGAATTCCATGAATAATTTTTATGCACAGTGGAGGACATTTCACTTGGATGCCACTGCAACCAATATCATTTGAGCTAGAAATATTTTAATTTTTTTGTTTTAATATTCTGATTTGAGTTTTAATCTTGATCTGCCCTCTGCAGTGTTAGTGCAGTATGAGCTAGTTTTAAAATATGCTGCAGTGCTCACGTCACACTATAAAAAGCATGATGTCCTCAGTCGTGCAATGTATGCACACAAGCCCTCTTAATGGATCTGCTGCTAAACTTGGCTGGTGATCAGCTGCATCAACTGCTGCAAGATCATGTGGCGATTACTAAAGACAGAGGAAGAAACGAAAGGGGAGTGTGTTAAGGCAGAAAGAGGAGGGATGTGAGAGACATCTGAGACACCTGTGTGATGTTACCTACTGAATAATATAGGATTAGAGGGTTTAGGTGAATGAAACAAGAGCCTACCCACAGTGCATCCTGGAGAAAACAAGATAAGCTTTCAGTGCAGTCCTGTGAGCTCAGAACTTGGCTACATCAGATATTGAAATATATTGTAAGAATTGAAAAATCTCTAAGAAGGCACACAGCATAATACATAGAATCAACGTTATCAAAGATTTAAAAAGGAAAGCAAATATTGAGTATCATTTAAAAATAATCTGGAAATGGCAAACCATAGAGTGTTTGTTTGCAGATTCTAAAGTGAGCCACGTCTACTTATCAGGTTATACAGTCCTCCGAGTGATATTCAACAATAACTAAGACAGGTTTTTTTTTTTTAGTTTCATACAAGTGAAGGCGACCCTGCAATTTGGAGGAGTGAAAACATGGTGCATATTCCAGATGATGCCGATTTTAACTCTTTTCGGGAGCTGTGCGAGAATCCCGATGGCTGGCAATGTCAGTACAATAAAGGAGGGACGACTGTATGGAGTCAGGAGCAGGACAGCATCAAAGCTGTTAAGAAACTCAAGGTAAGTGCTCATGGCACTCTTTATAAGTGCTGCAAATATAACTTGAAAGCTTGCAGCCAGGGCTTACTATTCCTTTTCCATTTAGTATCTCTAATTCTATATCTCTCTGTCAATGGATCATTGTTCAGTTTTGTAAACTACTCTGTCAGGATAATCCTGCCATGTCAGTGCTAGGCAGGTAAATAGGTAGTTCCTGCATGCATTCTGCAGTTACTGTTTTATGCTTACTACTGTGGACTTGCTGTGCTATGGAACACTGCATTGCATCTGGATGTTATGCATACTGTAGCATTTCTTTCAGGGTTCAATTTAGAACTCCTAATCCTCCACACAGGCATTCATAATTTGCTAAAGTACAAATTGTCTGTAATTTATTATGCTGCCTTGGACAATTATTGCTGCCTTAAAAATATTACAGGTTTATTAAATTATATTGATTCCATCTGCAAAGGTTAAGAACTTAAGACACTTTATGGGCTAGAGGTGGCACAATGGGACTTATTTACTAAACACCAAATTGAAATGATCTGGAGACTGCTTCGTTTTTTTTCTTGGGTAAAAATATTCCATCTCTAATATGGCTATGGCTCTTTTTTATATATATATTTTTTTTCAATTGATCTTTAATTCAATATACAATGGTTTTTAGTGAATGAACTCTAGATAATTGGGAAGGAGAACAAGAATAGGTCCATTTATTTCTTCAAAGCACCATGTATCTTCAAAGCACCATGCGGACAGGTGCACTGGGGCCCTGCTTACACGACCACTCACAAAACTAAAAATGTAAATTATGAATAACTCTTTAAGCTTATATTTATTGGTTCCTCCAACAAAATCATTGTTTAACCCCTTAACTCTGTTACGGCATTCTATGCCATCCCCATTATAATGGGCTTTAAAGCCGTTGCGGCGGCATAGAACGCTGTAATGGCTTAAAGGACCACTATAGTGCCAGGAAAACATACTCGTCTTCCTGGCACTATAGTGCCCTGAGGGTGCCCCCACCCTCAGGGACCCCCTCCCGCCCGGCTCTGGAAGGGGGAAAGGGGTTTAAACTTACCTTTTTCCGGCGCTGGGCGGGGAGCTCTCCTCGGATCCTCCTCTTCTCCTCCCCGTCGGCTGAATGCGCACGCGCGGCAAGAGCTGCGCGCGCATTCAGCCGGTCACATAGGAAAGCATTCATAATGCTTTCCTATGGACGCTGGCGTGCTCTCACTGTGAAAATCACAGTGAGAAGCACGCAAGCGCTTCTAGTGGCTGTCAATGAGACAGCCACTAGAGGATTAGGGGGAAGGCTTAACCCATTCATAATTATAGCAGTTTCTCTGAAACTGCTATAATTATGAAAAAATGGGTTAACCCTAGAAGGACCTGGCACCCAGACCACTTCATTAAGCTGAAGTGGTCTGGGTGCCTAGAGTGGTCCTTTAAGCCGCATGGAGAAACATACCTCCGCCGCGATCCTCTTCGGGAGGACTGCCTGACAGCCCAGGCAGCCCTCCCCTCAAAGAGCGATCACAAAGCCCCCTATAGCTGGCTGTGGATCTGCCAGCAGGGGGACTGTCTGGACTGTTAGACAGTCACCCTGCTGGTGGGTACTGTGTGTGTGTTAAAAAATTATTATTAAACATGTAAAATTTAAAAGTGAAGTTTTTTCTTTTGCATTTTTTGCACACGATTTATATACTTTTACTGACAATATTATTGTTGTAATATGTTTTACGGTTTTGAAAACACTTATGTTTGTGTTCAGTGAAGTCTCCCATGTACAGTTTTTATGGTGGTTTTTGGAAAGTTAGAGAGTCAAATATAAGGCTTGCTTTTCATTTTTTTTCACATTGAAATTTGCCAGTTTGGTAATGTTGCCTTTGGGGCCGTATGGTAGCCCAGAAATGAGAATTACCCCCATAATGGCGTACCATTTGCAAAAGTAGACAACCCAAGGTATTGCAAATGGGGTATGTCTAGTCTTTTTTTAGTAGCCACTTAGTCAAAAACACTGGCCAAATATTTGTGTTTTTGCTTTTTTTTTTTTTTTTTCCACTCTCAAACAAATATGAATGCTAACTTTGGCCAGTGTTTGTGACTAAGTGGCTGGCTATTAAAAAAGACTGGACATACTTGCAATACCTTGGGTTGTGTACTTTTGCAAATGGTATGCCATGCTGGGATTAATTCTCATTCCTGGGCTACCACACGGTCTCAAAGGTAACATTACTAATCTGGCAAATTTTCATGTGAAAAAAAATGAAAAGCAAGCCTTATATTTGGGTATTATGAGTTCCGCCCATGGTGCAAAAAAAATAATTTTTTTTATTAAGGAGAGAAAGGATTATTGATGTCCAAGGGACTACACTTTGATTTCAATGCACAGAACAAGTGAGAAATGACCCAAAGAGGCAACAAAAAGGAGGAGCAGGATAGAAAAGTGTGTGTGTGTGTGTGTGTGTGTGTGTGTGTGTGTGTGTGTGTGTATATGCACGCTCACACGCGCACACACACAAAGTGGTGTGTGTGTTTCTCTTTTTTTTGGGGGGGGGGTGTTCTCACTTGGATCTGACTTGGAATATCATGCATAAATATATAAATAAGTAGGTACAAAAACCTACACATAACTAATACAAATATTACACACAGATTAGATGGTGGATATCCCAGCATATAAAAACAGAAATTGAGGTTACAGTGCTTATAGTGTAGAGTGCAATATACAGTGCTTATAGTGTAAAGTACAATTTGTGTTTTTTATTTGCTGTGATATCCATTGTATTATTTATCACATTTGGTTAGGGATCTCCTAGTACGTGTATGTTTTTGTACCTACTTATTTATATATTTATTAATTTCCTAGAGCTTTTATGGGGGCTCTACCTTACTAGTTGAGACCCTGTACCTGTGATTCCTATCCTTACTCTCTCCATTTTCTCCACTCTTTAGGGCAAGTGCTTTTTGCCCAATTTATATACTTCATTTGGAATATCATGCAGTTTATCTATATTAACACATGCGCAGTTATATTAAGTATACTTTGTCGTACACCGGTCCATTTTCCTGGCCTTTTTGATTAGTCTGAATTGGTTTCCCGAGGACAATATTCAGACAAGCAAAAGAACAATTGTCAGAGGTCCCAAGGCACATTTTCTTTCTTTTCTAAAGGGGAGTAGGGGGACTGGTTTACTCCAACCATATTGGCTTTTTTTTCATGCTGTCCAATAGAAAAAGTTACACTCTACTTTTTAGTAATTCATTTAGACATTAGTTCTAGTTACCAGGAAGAAAGAGTTTGTGAAAATAGCAATGACTTCTGCTTTTGGAAGTTTTCATGGTTGAAAGAGTCTATATGTGTAGTTCTTCTGCTTAAAACCCTGCACATAAAGAGATGCTTGCTCTTCTGTTCCAGGGGCTAGTTCCATTGGGGTAAAAGTGTTGTAGGCAACCTGGATTTGTGTTCCAAACTGCCTAATATCAATTCAGTGCAAAATATACATGTTTCCAGTGTGCTGGTGACGGACGTAGTTAACTTCTTAACTTGGCTCTCCCACTCCCTCTTTACCATATTAGAGCCTTCCCTAATATTCCTGCTTTCTTTAGCAGTTCTTTGTTTTATTCATTTGTCCACCTCTTTGTTCCCTATGGAAAGCATTTGATTGCATCATGAGAAGGACGCCGAGATGACGGAGATAGGGTTGAGACCAGCACAGGGAGCGAGTGGAAGCAACATTTATAACTCTGTAAATGGAGTACGTAAATCAAAACGCATGCATAAAACATATTCCACCTCTGCTCTAATCCCCCTATAATAAGAACTTGGAGGAACATTCTAAGCACCTAACATTCTAAATCTCAATCCTAATTAATTGATAAATTCATGCTGCACATGCATCCTTACTGTTGTACTAATGGCTTTTAGACAGCCATTCACCTGGAATTTTGAACTAAAATAGATTCAATTGTTGAATCTATTTGGCATCTAGTATTTACATGCAAAGTATGTGAACACCAGATGCTGTTTGCATCCATTGCAGAATCGGATTTAATGTTTCTCATGGAGAATTATGGGTTGGTAGGTCACAGCAATTGCCACACGTGAAAATCATCTTATTGGGCAAACATCATTAGTCTTAAAGCCTGCACAGGAGGAGGATTGGGTATCAGTGAAGAGACTGCTGTAATGGCGCTAGGTCATTCATAAAACTTTGGGTATATAGTGACTTGTAAGCTACTATGGCTCAACCGTCCCTAGACTACTGATCTGGATTGTTAGTGACTTCTGTTTTGCATTTGGTCATGGGATCATTTATAAAAAGTATTACAGAAGTACCACACATTATTTCCAAACTGAGGTAAACTTCTGATGCATGAAACCAAGCCCACATGCAGTTGTCAAAACAGAAGATGTATTATCTCTAGGAAATCAATCTCAAACTCTTATTCATGCCACACACATGGGTCTCCCCATTTCCTTTATGATTTATCAAGACATACTGCAAATCATCCTTGATAATCCATTAATGGTATACTACTATTGACTCATTTCACCAGTTAAGTTTTCCATTTTGGCTCTGTTTGGTACCCGACCCAGTGAAAAGCTTCCAGAGAGCAAGAGGCTAACACCTATGTTTCCATGTCATTTGTTTCTTTGCTTGTCAATATAATTTTAACCAGAAATCTGATAATTGACTGTCAGTAGGAGTAGTTTAAACCAGATGATTACTTCCACCATTAGAAGGAATTTATATTTGTAATATGGAAATATAAATGTTGCATTATCAGTGTCACTGGAGAGTTGCATTGTAATCTTGGTTGAAAAGTCTCAAAGGCATAAAGTTCAACTTTAAAACACTACTTTTTATGCTCTTTTCTCCCATTCTCTCCTATCACAGTCATTAGTTATGAGGCATTGCTCCATTGTGCTCTGTTCAGTGGCAGATTAAGAGCCCATTGGGCCTGGTGCTGACTATTATAATTGACCCCAATTACAAAATCTTCTCGACAGAAAACACTAGAACAGTTATACTCCCAAGCATCATGTATCTGGCGGTGGTGCTGGAGGGAAACTCACAGGATAAAGCTATCAGAAAACACATACCCTATGCTAATCTTTCTCGTAAATCCATACCCCCTAACAGCAGGTCTGGTGAAGCAGAATATCGGTGGGCAAGGTAAAAGGGTGGGTAACTGACGCGAGTCACATAAACCAGAAGTGTGTAAAGGGCAAACATGCCCAAAAGGCGGTGTCTGCCTGCTGAATTAGGTCAGCATGGTGTAAATGGATGATAGACTGCCAGCTAATCATGCATGCTGGCCAACAAAGGGCATACGATGCAGACAGTACCCTGAGCTTGGCATAAATGGGTCTAATGATGTGCTCGCTCCACGCTGTCTAAGAACTGTCCCCTAGCACTTACTTGTCCGCTCCTCTCCTTACCTTCTTACTAGCATGCAGAAGCTTCTGTTATGCAATATGGGACAGATGAAAGGTGTATGTAGTGAGTGTAGAAGAAAGGGAACATGCCACAGTGTTGGAGAGACTGAAGCAGCAAGAGCATTTGCATAGCGCGCAAAGTCAGATCAATACATGGTGGGGCACAAAAGCTATTATAGTCAAAACAGGAAAAGGGGGCACTAACAATTTCCACCACTAAATCTTATGGTCGCAGGAGAAATAGTTGGTGAATTCAGGGGGATAAAGGCCATAGTGGTTGCATGAGGTAAGAGGCTTTAATGCGTGCAGGGGACAATAGGGGACAGATAGGAGCTATGATGATGCTGTACTAAGGCAGGGGGTAATTGCAGGGGCTGTGGTGGGTGTGGAGGGATAGGAGCTGTCATGGGCAAGTAGTGAAGGAGATTATATCCTTTATATTCACATGCTGCCTCCCCTCCCCCTCCCCCTGGATTTTTCAGTTTGTGCCGGTATTTTTATTTTCAGATTGAGAATACACTGCAATACCCGCACCAGCCAGTAGGTGTGTATGGAGAAAGGCAGGGATAGGGAGCCACCTCTTATCCCTGATTTTTTCTCCTGACTGAATCCGTGGGGGAGCAGCACAGAGTGCAGCCAGCAACTCCCATACTGCAGAGACAGCCTACAGATCAGGTAAGTGAGAGATGGTGGGGAAGGGGGGTGGGGGGTGGCAGCCTATAGATTAGGTAAGTGAGAGGAACAGGAAGAGACAGCAAGGTGCAGAAAGGGATCAGCAAGAGAAAGGAGCAGAAGGGTGCAAAAGAAGCAGAAAGGTGAAGGAGCCAAAGAGAAGGCAGGTTCAGAAGAAAAAGACTGTGTCAAATGAAGGAGAAGAAAATGATATTAGAGCAGGAAGGACAAGTGAAGTAAACCCTCCACTTTATTCTGGACACCACATCATAAGGCTTTACCTGGGCCTGCCAGGGAAACTTTGGACCTTCTCATCTCCGCAGGTAAAAAAAAAAAAAAATCAGTGTTAATGTATTCACTTTTATTTACTGAGTGTCAGGAAGCACAGAGTGCCGCTGGGGAGGGGTGTCGCTGATTGGCACTCTAAGCCAATCAGTAGCTCCCCATTCATAAAAAAAGTAAAAGTTTTTATGAACCGGGAACTAGCGATTGGCTTAGAGCCTCAACTGACCACTCTAGCCACTCTATAGCACACATGCCTGACATCAATCTGCACTTCTTGGCACTCCATTTCAGAAGCCAAATGCCACTGAGCGATCTGGAGCTTGAGGAAGCCTTTGGGGTTAAACCATTTGAGAGCGGTTTAACCCCTTTAAAAAAAAGAGAGCGCCCAGGGGCTTCCTGGCATTATAGCTTTTTTTTATTTAGATTAAGTTGTTATGGTGAACAGAATGTTCCTTTTAATTTGCTTAAAGGAACACTATATAGTGTCAGGAATACAAACGTGTATTCCTGACACCATAGTTGTGAAAACGCTATTCGTCCTGGCTTTATGTGATAATGACTATGCTACTTCCCTTTCATGACACTGTCAAAAAGGGGCCAAGGTATGTATGTCATTACAATTAAAAACTGGCTTTTTATGCAAGTCCCAATGCAAGGGAACACCCCCATGGACTTTGTTGGGGACAGAATGACAATTGTTACAAGCCAATGATAATGCAGTACAGTAGGTGACACTCCCACACATTACACACAATCCCTCCCCTCATCCTGTGAGAATTTTATGTAACTCAATTATCTCCAGGCAGAAAAACATATATTTTTTTTTTTTTAAAGTGTCATTAAATACCCCAAAACACAACATATCTTCATGTTACTGTTTTGGGCATGGGACCATGCCTGCGCCTGGGTAAAACTATGACTTCCATAAAGTTTCTGAACCCTTGATTGAGCCTGACCAATTTTGTTGTCGTTAATAATGCATTAAATAGATAAAAGGAAATGGTTCCTACTGTAATTTATTTCCCTGATTTTAAAACCCGTAGAAGCTTTACCTAATAGGTAGCCCCTCTTCTCACAGCATAAAGGACAAGAATATTATACATTTAATTTTTTTGTAAGTAAT